CTTGGATCTTAGTTATATACATTTCTCATTGGCTAGATTTGCACAATAGACTAACTTTGAATTAGCCAACTGAATTTATCCCACTCAATACCATCTCAGGGGATCAGCAACAACACATCGTACAGTTAACCATGAGTACACATTGTATAAACAACAAATGCTGTGTTATCTCCCCAGTATTTAAGAACAGGCCAAAACTAAGATCCAAGTTAATGATAGTTTCCAACATTCACGTTTAAACAATAGTTTGTTTGGGAGAAGTCCCTTCATAAGGAGAACAGCAGGGTTTCCCCCCAAACCATGTTGTGTTAGCCACACCATATCGGACTTCTAAGATTAGAAATGGTGGCACTCAATGCCCTTGTGCCGTTTCCCAAGAATCAACTTCACCATTTTGAAAAATTATGGAGCTGAGGATTATTTTCCAGAAAAGCTACATAATAGGCTTCGTTCTTCATGCGTTGAGAAGCATCAATCTCACTTCCCGCTAAGGTCCAATGATTTATTTGCTGCTTTCCAAAGCCCATCCAGCGTGATGCTCCCCAGATGTTGCCTTTCAGCTATCTGGATAACCTCGCCAGCATCTCCCAGCCCTTCGTCATGCCACCGAAGCAATGATGGGACGTCCAACCTCTCCAAAAAGTCCTGGGAAGGAGACGTCAGGTTGGCCTCCTAATCATCATCATCATCATCCTCTTCATCCTGCTGCCGGTACTTGAGATGGATGACAGTCATGACGATGCCACTCAAGATACAGGCAGCGCCCAGGACCAGGTAGGCAATGCCAAGGAAGGGATTCTTACCCCCCATCCAGGAAAGGGTGCTCAAGATGACCTTCTTGCTCCCGTGGAAACCCAGCACAGGGTATCTGTAGCTGATGTTCAGGAAGTACGTGCCCTGGGGCAGTGACTTCGAGAAGTTATCGTGGCGGATGCGGGCATAAAGCTTTCGGAAGGTGGGCAGGGCGGCTGTGCGCATCCAGACGATGAATTCCTCATTGACAAAGCCTGTGTTGTTGCGGTCAGAGGGGTCCAGCATGCAGGCCGTCCGAGACCAGAAGGGCGGCTTGGCCGTGTGGCTGAAGGCATCACACAGGCTGTTGTTGACCGGCTCTGGATTTTGGAACTTGACGTTGGTGTCGGTCCACCAGGCGATGCCCCGTTTATCCAAGGTCACATTGGCCAGGGAGCCGTTGGGCAGCTGGTAGAAGAGCTCAAAGGTGTCGTTGAAGAGGCTGTTGGCCACCGACCCGCAGGGCGCGATGGGCACCCCTTGGCTGTTGTAACGGTAAGGCTTGCACTCCTGGTAGGGGTGGCGTAGCGCCCAGGTCACCCCGCTGAGCTGCTCGTCGTCCCGGGAGATGCTGTAACGCCGGTTGTTCTGGAAGTAGTTGGAGAGCTGGTAGTAGAGGCAGACGGGCAGCGGGAAGGGGGCGGGCAGCTTGAAGGTCAGCCCGCACTGGCAGGAGCGCACCCGCCGCGGGTCGCTGCTATTGGTCAGGCGGGCACAGTTGGAGCAGTTGTTGCCTGGAGTCCCTGTGTAGTCCAGCTCCAGCTCCTTGATTTTCTCCGAGGTGAAGAAAAGGCTCAGCCCGATGGCCAAGAAGGCCAGGCCCAGCCCGAAGAAGAGGGGCAGCACCGTGCCAGCCGTCAACAACGGCTGCCACGCCGGCAGGCGCTGCTGGGTGAAGGCCGTGTTGTCCGGCTGATTCTGCAGCGGAGGCGCCTGTGAGAAGGCGCGGCTGACGTTGTAAGAGCCCGAAGCCATGCTGCGTGTCGATCCGGCTCCACTGGCTCCGCTGGCCCCGCCGCCGCCGCCCTGCCTCGAAGTCCGGGACGCGCCCTAGTATCGGCCGAGCCCGGAAGCCCCCAGCCAGCAAGGCAGAGCCGGGCAGGTAGACAGGTGGGCGGGACGCGGCTGGCGCTGCTCTCGCGCGGCTCAGTTGAGGGCGGCGGCTTTGGACGCGGGCTCGGACAGGTGGGCGGCGTGTGCCGCCGGTTGGGCCACGCCCCTTCGTTCTCACCTGCGCGCCCGCAAAGACGGCGCAGGTGAGTCCGGAATCCCGGACTCTCCGCCCCCCCACCTGCGCGGCAGGAAAGAAGGCGCAGGTGAGTCCCGGAGCCCAAGTCTCAACCCATCCCGCCCCTCCAATCTTACCTGCGCGCCCCCCAAAAAAGGCGCAGGTGATTCCGGTGCACAGGTCTCACAGTCCCGCCGTTCCAGACTCACCTGCGCCCCGGGAAAGAAGGCGCAAGTGAGTCCCGGACTCGGCGGGAGGCGGCCATGCCCGCCCATCCGATGGATTGGAATCGGGGTCCGCGAGGCAGACGGGCGGATTGGCGCGATGTCCTTCCAGGCGGGGCGTTCCGACTGCGCTGGCTCTGCCCTCCTGCGGGTTGCATGCGGGGCGGATGGCGCCGTCCTCTTCGGGTCGCGCATCCCTCTTTCGGCTTTCTCTAGCCCATTGGGGCATAGGGAGAATCCCCCCGCCGGGACCCCCAGCTTCCTAATCCGGCCTGGGCAGAGGGTGGCGTTTAGGAGGGGCTGTCCCAACCTTGGCAGCCTGAAGACGCGTTGAAGTGCGCCCCTCGATTTGAATTAATGAATGAGATTAATTGTTCAGTGAGAACAATCCTCGGAAAGGCTCAGCTTCTCTAGGAGTTGAGGGTGTTCCATCACTGGAGGTTTGCAAGAAGAGATTGGACAACCATTTGCCTGAAATCGTATAAGGTTTTCTGCTTGAGCAGAGGGTTGAAATGGAGATGAAGACCTCTAAGGTCCCTTCCAACTCCCTTCCTTCCTTCCTTCCTTGCTTGCTTGCTTGCTTGCTTGCTTGCTTGCTTGCTTGCTTGCTTGCTTGCTTGCCAAAAAGAAGGTTTTTAAGAAGGTTTTATAATTGAACAAGGAGAGATTCAACCTAGAAACAAGGAGAATTTTTTTCTGATAGTGAGAACCATCAACCCATGGAACAGAAGTTGCCTTCGGAAGTTGTGAGAGCTTCATCACTGAAGGTTTTCCAGAAGAGATTGGACTGCCAATTGTCAGAAATGGTGTAGGGTCTCCTGTTTGAGGGGGGTTGGACTAGATGACCTTTAAATTCCCTTCCAACTCTGTTAACCTCCAAGCACCAAGTCGCTTAAGATATGCTCCATAAACTCAAGATGGACCAGGTGAAGGAGACAACAGAGATTTATAGATCGGGTGGTTGGAGGCCAAATGGGAGGGAGGGCAAGGGGGAGGACCAGGTGGAAGGGCCCCTTTTCTCTCTTCCAAAAGCAGAATAG